AATTACGAAAAAGTTTTAGCTTAAATTATTAAAATTAACGTTGAAAGTTTTTCCTTAGTAAAAGGGGAGGGGGACGGAGGTTGGGGTGATTTGGACATAGTGAGCCAGGTGGCGCGCGTTTCGTGGATGAAAATTTTCACGGGAGATTTCATTTTTTTTCTCTCATTCCATCCGGTCGGTCGTTATTTTTGTTTTTTAAGGGGATTTCGGCCATGGGGGGTATCTGAAGCCATCAGGAAGGTATTTAGGTAGTTTTTGAAGGGGATTTCAGCCATGGAGGGTATCCTGAAGCCATCAGGAAGGTATTTAGGTAGTTTTTGAAGGGGTTCAGCTATGGGGGGTATCTGAAGCCATCAGGAAGGTATTTAGGTAGTTTTTGAAGGGGATTTCGGCTATGGGGGGTATCTGAAGCCATCAGGAAGGTATTTAGGCAGTTTTTGACGGGGATTTCAGCTATGGGGGGTATCTGAAGCCATCAGGAAGGTATTTAGGTAGTTTTTGAAGGGGATTTCGGCTATGGGGGGTATCTGAAGCCATCAGGAAGGTATTTAGGTAGTTTTTGAAGGATTTCGGCTATGGGGGTATCTGAAGCCATCAGGAAGGTATTTAGGTAGTTTTTGAAGGGGATTTCAGCTATGGGGGGTATCTGAAGCCATCAGGAAGGTATTTAGGTAGTTTTTGAAGGGGATTTCGGCTATGGGGGGTATCTGAAGCCATCAGGAAGGTATTTAGGCAGTTTTTGACGGGGATTTCAGCTATGGGGGGTATCTGAAGCCATCAGGAAGGTATTTAGGTAGTTTTTGAAGGGGATTTCGGCTATGGGGGGTATCTGAAGCCATCAGGAAGGTATTTAGGTAGTTTTTGAAGGGGATTTCGGCTATGCGGGTTTCTGAAAACATCAGCATATGTAATGATGAAAGCAGCGAGGGATGTGGTGGTGTAGAATCTGGAGGGTAGCTCGAAGGCCAGTCGATTACAGTCGCGAAGCGGGTGTAATCGGCTGGTCATATAGATAAAAAGAGCCATTTCAAGCTACAAATGGGACCATGGCGGATGAGCCACATTTGAGCAACTGCGGCAAAACGACGTTTCAGCAACACGGTTTTCTCGCGCTTACTAGGTAATGATTGTTGCTCATCTCTCATAGTCTTAACTGTGATTGACGCAATATAGAAAGCCTGAAACCGGGCAAATTTGAAAATTTGCTAAATGCCGGAGAACAGTATGGCCTAGCCGTAAGAAAGAATCCGCTCGAAATCAAGCGCGAAAGGACCTTTTTCTAACCCTACATTGCCGCAAATCGATTTCTCTCAAAAAACTTTTTCTACACGCCGTTATCGAAAAACAACTAGTCCTCACATTTCACAACAGCCAAATATACTGAGCGTGTCAACGCTGCGGTAAGCTCAAAACAATGCGTAAAACGTTTAATGTTTATTATATCACGGACCAACGACATGAATTGAGTATCAGGGTATAAATAAACAATCAAGGGGGCGCCAGAAGTAATTTACTAAACAAAATCATCGCTAAATTCGGGATTCATTAAAGGGAAATGACAATTGGAGGTGGTAAAGATACAATAAATAGTCGGGAGCAGGGGGTGTAATGATTTGTTAAAGGGGGGGGGGGGCAGGTAGACGATCACTGCCATGAGGCGCCGGCACCTCCCGCTCCAGCCGCGCCGCCTCCGCGCCCGCCGCCATAGCCGCCCTGTCCGCCCGCCGCGCCGTAGCCGCCGCCTGGAAATGAAAAAGTTTTTAATTTCCTTGACAAGGCTAACCGGGTGCTCCGCCGTATCCTGGGGCTCCATAGCCGCCGGCCGCGGGCCAACGACCTCCGGCTCCAGCTGCTCCGCCTCCACGGCCGGCTGCGGGCGGTGGTGGGGCCCAGCCGCCACCGGCACCAGCGTACGGGTCTAGAAAGAAAATAATAACCTAGTCATTAAAATTAACAGAAACACCTTAAAAGTACTCCAAGTGTTATTAAAAGCTAGGCGGAAAAGCGGCATTTTTGAGAAAAAAATATTCATTTCTCGCCGACAAGGAATCGCTTAAGGTGCTTTTCGTGTTTTGCGATGTGGAAAAAGTGGATTCGAAAGTACTCAACCGCATTTTTTTCACATTTTAGTGTGACGGATCGAAAAAATTATCAAGATCGGTGTCTTGAGATCGACACCATATCGCAAAAACGATTCCTTGTAAGCAGGAAATCCTACCACGCCCACCGTCGTATCCGCCGTAGCCGCCGCCATATCCGCCGTCGTAGCCTCCCGGTGCGCCGTATCCTCCTCCGTAGCCGCCGCCTAAAAATAAAAAATTAAAGACAGCCATAAAAAAATACCAGGTCCCCAGCCGCCTCCGCGTGGTCCGTCCCATGGTGCTGGGCGCCCGTATCCGCGATCGTCGTAACCACGTGGGCCGCCGGGCGGGCCCCCGAAGCGGTCACCACGTCCGGCGCGGTCTCGACCCTGCTGGCCACCGACCTAAAAAAAAGAAATATTCGTAAAAATAGCCAGACAGCAAGATGAAAAAATATAGTGCGTAAAAACCGACCCCGGCCAGCTCGTCCTTGCTGAGACCCTTCTTGCAGTCGCAGCGGAAGCCGTTGATCATGTGCGACTTCTTCAGCACGCACCGGTCGACCGCGTCGTAGTCGTCAAAGTTGACGAAGCCGAATCCGCGCGGCTTGTTCGTCGCCTTGTCCATCAGGATCTCGACCTGAAAAAAGAACGTTAGGGTGATTCTCCGGGGTTGAAACACAGGGAAAGCTGAGAAACCCCCTTACCTTCTCCACCTGCCCAAACTCGCTAAAATACTCCTTGATCATCTCTTCCGTGTGGCCCTCGCGGATGCCGCTCACGTACAGCCGGTTGGTGGAGGGGAGTTTTTGACCTAGAAAACATGCTGTAAAAGCCGCCAAAAAACCGAACCTCTGTGCGATTCGTCTCGGGGAACGGCGCGCTTCGGGTCGATGGTCTTGCCCTCGATTTCGTGCGGCCGCGCGTTCATCGCCTTGTCGACATCTTCGCTCTTCTCGAACGCGACGAAGCCGAAACCGCGGGAACGGCCCGAGTTCCGGTCTTGCATCACCACGGCGTCGACGATGTTGCCCCATTGTCCGTAGTATTCCCTACAAAAAACTGAGTTTTTCACTGTTAGCGGGAGCGGAGAAGCCTTCTAGCTTCTAACCTAGTCAGAATTCTAGCGCTTGATCGCGTTTTTAGTGGTTTCTGATTACCAAACTGTACAGCAAACGAAATCTTCCGGTTTTTAGGAGCTTTCTGTACTCACTCAAAATAGATTAAAAATCATCGAAAAGACGCGATTTTTTCCTTGGAACCGTAAGGGCCTATAGACAAAGTTGCCTCCCGCTAACAGTCCAGAACCATAAAGGACTCCAAAATATTGAAAACCTCCTCACCTTAGCGCCACCGCGGTCGTGCTGACCGGCAGGCCACCGACGAAGAGCTTGCGGAATTGCTCGGGCTCGAGAGCAGAGGAGTCGACAGCATCACCCGCGGCAGCATCACCAGGGGCGCCCGACTAAAGCAAATTATGAAATGTCGCCTGTACAGGAAGGTGCTGGAAAGCGCAGATGGGCCCAAGAGCTTCCAATGAAAACTACTGCATTTTTCAACCTTGTTTTTTTAGCCATGCTCATGGGCGCATTTCAAAAAAATGGCAAAATCTCAGTCTCCTCATTGTGACGCGCGATCGAAATTAGCCACAGCACAATGTAGAGCCACCTAGCCTTCCACCTCAGCACCTCTCAATGGTCCGTAAATCGAACCAAACTTACAGTAATAGCGTCTTCCTTGACCATCGTTAACCTAGCGCGATACTGCTATAGCGTATCTAGGCTAATATAATCAGTCTGCGCTAAATGATTCGTGGGGAAAACACTGGAGAACAATAGAGCTAGCCATCGAAGAAGAAACTCAAGGCAACCCGCATTTAACGCCCGCCTAGAAATAACGCCCCTACTTCACAGAAATCGTATTTCCTCTAATATAAAGCTATTTCTGTTCAAGCAGCACGAAGGAGGTGTACTAGGGGAAGCCTAGGTTCGTTCTAAGACAAACTTTCTAGCAGTTCAAACCTCTCACAACCACTCAGGAATACAGTACAAAGCTTCAACAGAAACGTTATCGCATTTTTTTTTGCTTCGCAAAGTGGCCCGGAAGGCAGTCTGCTGACCCTCTTTTTTTCTGGTAGGGTCAACAGGCATCCAGAATCGTGCCGTTATATCCCGTTGAAATACAAATTTGAAGGATTGGGGCTCAGTTAGAGGAAATATGGTATATAGGTTTGAGCACGCTACAGACAGGAGCGCAAAACGGGGCGAAATGCGGGTTGCCAAGACTCGAGTAGAGAAAAATAACCAGTAAAAGCTACCCTTTGCTATTCTAGCCAAACCAGCTAGCCAAAGGTACTTTACGCGTCGAGTTGCGATTGTTGGGGGTAGAGCAATTGGCAATGAGAGGTAGGGAAAGAAAAGTGAAGGGTGAAATGAAGGAAAGAAGAATGAAAAGGACGGGTATCAATATCGATACTATGATATTTCGAATGCGGGCGGAGGGGCCGGACAACAGCGCCCGCCTGACTATCAACGCACACTTTCCCGGCGCATAGTGTATGCCCGCGTTTTTCTAAATGGATGAAGCCAAGAAAATGTGCGAAAAATTCAAAAATTAATAAAAAGTATAAGTTTAATTGTTTTGAAGGGCTTTATTGTCGTTCACTAATTTTCCTCAATTACTACAATTTAAAAATGGGGTTCTTCTGCGTCCTTGGCGAGGGAAACCGCCCTTTTCCCAGGGATCCCAGCTTTGTGATAGAAGTTAATATGTATTTTTTTAGACATTTTCCACTTTCAATCATAAAACCGGGATACGGATTTTAATAAAACTACAAAATATACGGGAATTGTCGATTTTTCGGCTTACTTTTTCGCGAAAATGTTTTCAAACGGTTTTATACGCCTGTTTTAATGGTTTATTGCGTTGAAATTTTGCGAAAAGTTACTGAAACCTTTACTAAATTTCTTGAAAAATACCCGTAAAAAGCATCGGTGATTGGAGAAAAGCTTTGGTACTTATCAAGTTGGGGGGGGGCACTTTGGTTTTCGATTTTTTTAGTCTTTCTAGGCTAGTTTTTTGTGCTGGTTTCGAATATAACAAAATCAGAGTTGTAAAATGCGCTTACCTAAACGTTTGTTAAGATTTAGAGATGCAGACACCCGGTATTAGCCTAAAAATAAGGCTTCGTGCCACCGGGGGCCTAGTCGCTTCGGATGGGTGCGAGCTCGTACAGGGTTTCGAAATCGGGGCGCCCGAGGCGCGCGAAGCGGCCAGGCGCCCCGATTTCGAAAGAGTGGAGCGGCAGCCCATCCGAAGCGACGGCCCACCTTGCCTGACAATGCAGCCAGCCTCAAATTGTGCATAGGTACACTTTTTATTAATAGATTTTCACACTGTTTTTTCTGGATAAACCCGACGGTTTCGCATGCTGTTGCTACTCTCGTTGCACTCAGCGTAAAAAACTACCCCAGATAGACTCGAAAAAGCGATAAAAAAGTGACCCCTATAAGGTACCCAAAGTGGCCCCCCCAACTTGATAAGTACCAAAGCTTTTGCTTTATGTCCCTTCTTCTGTTTCGTCATTTGCAATTTTCTACACGACCGATTGAGCCAATTTTTTTCAGCTTTACAAAGCAGAAAATTAAACATTATCTAGAGAATATTGGTTTCTTCAACGCCATTTTTTGTACAAAAAAACGCTTTAGATCTAAAAAACCTCAAAATGACCAGAAATTCTTTCCTTTCCATTTCGTCATCTTTTTTGAACAATCGAGAGCCCATTTTTTTAGCTTCACATGTCAATATCTTCCGGGAGTTCGGTGGGCGGCGACGACGGCGATCTGCTGATTGAGGAGGGCGAGGACCTCGATTTCTACGCCGTCCTCAACTTGCCGAAAGATGTACGGGCTTCAGCAGAATTTGAAAGTCTTTCATTTCCAGGCCACTGATGAGGAGATCACGAAGGCCTATCGTCGACGTTGTCTCGTCTTCCACCCGGATCGCCACGTCGATGAGGATGACAAGAAGACGGCTGAGCGCGTCTTTGTCCAGATTCGCAGGGCTCATGAGGGTAAATTTTTTCCCAATTTTTATGCCGCTATTTTTAGTCCTAAGCGATCCGAAGAAACGGGCCATTTATGACGCTCTCGGAGTGCAAGGCATCGATGCTCAAGGCTGGGAGCTGGTTTCAAGGTGAAAACTAGATTTATTAATGCCGTACTACTAAATCTGATTCTTTTGCATTAACGGGGGGACTTTTTCGATTTAAGCCCATAAAGGCCCAGTAACGTGGTAGTGCGTGTTTTTATCGTGTTCTTGGCAAAATTTAATTAACTGTTGAGTGGAAAAACAATCAAATAACACTTAGACACTTTTTTTTAACAGACTTTGGTTGAAAATCGGCGATTTTGGCCGAAAAATCGATTTTTTTTTTTCATTGTAAATCAAAATTTGTTATTTTTGCACGTTTTACATAGTAAATAACGATTTAAAAACGCTTCTCTATTGCTATTAGCAAAATTTAATCTGTAGCAAAGGTTGCCGCTCCCGATAATGCGCAAAACCCTAAATTTTGTAAAATATAGAAACTTTTCGGGAAGTTTTTGAGGCAACGGATTTTACATGGCTGTTTCAGGTCTTCTAATCCTGAAAACATCAAGAAGGAGTATGAATTCCTCCAACGACTGCGCGAGAATGAAATTATGCTCACGAGGACTCATCCAACAGTAAGATTAAAAAAAATTATGGACCACTTTTTTAGAGTTCGTTCATGCTGAAGACCTCGCTGGCGGGGCTTTTCGTGAAGAACAAGGAGGAGCGCTACATGCCGCAGTTTGTCGGCCTCGCGCTCACGCAGGGTGTCGACTGTTCGTTGACAGGCAAAGATCGCGTCGGACTGACAGGTTATTTGAAAGTGATTTATCTGCAAAATAAGTATTTTAGGGCGTGTGAAGACGGGAAATGGACGAGGTGATGGTAGCGCGGCGCTGACTTGGAAAAGAGGTGTCGGGCAGTTTAATATGGAGGTCGGTTATGAAAAACAATCCTCAGCTCTAAAGCTGTTTTAGAACATGATCTCAATCTCGGGCGAATCGATCGCCGCTCAGTGCCGTCTGGCCCGTTCCGTGTTCCAGAGGGCCGCCATCATCGTCCAGCCGTCGCTGCAGTATATGTACCTTCAGGGCGTGTGCATGCCCACCCTTCAATTGAGTGGGTTTTTCAGACGTGGTTCTGGCTCGCAATCGAATTTTGCCTGGAAATGACGGGTTTTTCGATGCGAGTGGACGCTCAAGAGAAAACTAAATCTAGTTTTCTTTTTTTGTCGGAACCGCTTGTAAGCCACCGTGGCGGGAAAATCCTGTTGTATCCTGAACAGAAAGCCCGTAAAAATTGTTGAAGCCATTTACCTATGCCTCTTCTTATGACTGGCACAGGCAAAATTTTTACCACCACAAACGTGTGACCTCACCTTTTTTTTTAGTCTATTCGATGCGGCTTCGTCTTCGATGGCAAGGCTCGATCATTCTGGCGCTCACTCCGGTGCAAAGCGCTATCACCACAACGATTGTGCACACCGAGAACAACCAACCGAAAGCCATCGCCAACTTCACAGTGCGTTTTCCCGGTTTAAAAGTTGTATTTTTTTTAGCTTGCCCCGGCGAACCCAAACGTGCGCCTCGTCTACATCAGTCGGGACGCGAGCCTCGACTCTTTTACCGAGATGGCCTGCACGTTCAGCATGTTTGGTAAGCAAGCTCGGGTGCTTCCCGGTTAACGGGGGCACAATTTTTCCCCAGTAATTTGGTACGGCCCTATGCCGAAACACAAGTCATTTGTATTGTAGTTTACATAGCTTTCAGATATAAAAACCTTATTTAAAAAAATTCAAGATTGCAAAATTTTTGCCATTTTGTTCAAAAATGTACGAAAAATGGCCAACATAGATCAAAATGTCGATTTTCTAATGCTTTGTAACCTTCTAGGAATCAAAAACTAGTAAAAACATTGTCAAAAGGCTCTATTTATCAACAGATTAGGCCAAAAATGTCCCCCCGTTAACAGGAAAGCACCCAAGCTCGCGATTTCGGGAACAAAAAAAATCCTTGTTTCAGGGCTTTCCCCGTCGATCCAGATGGAGAGGAGGCTTTCGCGGTATTCCCGCTTTGGCGTCGGCCTCAGTTTGACGCTGCCATCGTGTATGCTGGTCGCTAAGTTCAAGTAAGGGTTCTGTTCTTAAAAAGCATACCAAGTGTTTCTAAACGTTTTTAAAATTTCTGTAAAAACGTTCTAACTTTTGATCAAAAAATACAAAAATATTACTTTTGATCAAAAAATACAAAAATATTCAACTTGCGACCAAAAATAGTCGATTTTCCACCGAAATTTTGCTTAAAAAGTTTTTCGAAGTTTTAAAAAATTTTTCTACTTAAAAATAGTTTGAAATCGTGCTTTTTTTTCTTTTTTTTTTGAACATTGAAACACGATTAAAACGCTTACTATTACGTTACTAGGCATTTCTGGACTTGTAGAAAAAGCCCCCCCCCCCCCCCCCCAATAATGCAAAAGCACCCTTTTGCTCTAGGGTGAAAAGCGGGCATTTCCTCTACGATTGGCACATCGTTCTGTGCGATGACAAGGACGAGGTGGCCCGATCAGCTCTCTACGGTGTCGTGTTGCCCGTCATGGCCTTTCAGGTATTTGTTCGCAGTACTTGATCGAACTCCCGTTTTAGGCGTTCAAAGCCATTTTCCGGCCGTTCTGGGAGCGCCTTACCGCGGTGTTTGACGATCGAACGCAGGAGCGTGAGGTCGACATGGCCAAGCAGGAGGAGAGCCAGCGGGTAAATAAATTCATTTTGAATTTTAGCCATAATCCCGACGCCAAAATATGATATTTCCGGTCGTTTACCCATAAACGGTTTTGAAAATCTGCTGGGGTTTCTGGCTGTCGGGATTTTGTCGAGATTTTGGCGTTTTTCCATTCATTTTCAATTAAAATTAAACCAATTCTAGGTGATCACTCTCATGCGTGGGACAGCCGACCGGATCCGCAAGGACGAGGAGAGCAAACAGGGCGTCATAATTCTGCAGGCCAGGTATCCGCATTTTGTTTTTGCCACTTCCGCTTCTCCAGATACGGCGTGAGCTCGCCCGACTCGGCGGCCAACTACCCGCTGGCCGGTGACCGATCGATCGATGTGGTCATCCCGCTTCAGGCGATGGTCAACGATTCCCAGCTACGCATTCATTCCTTCAACAAGGTCAATCCTGGCTCTTTCGCGTTATCGGGGGGAGTGATTTTTTTTTGTTCCTAGGAACCGATTTTGATATATAAGTAGCGGAAGTGTTTTTAAGTTGTTTTTTACTATTCCCAAGCATAAAAACTTTCAAAAATTTTATTATAAAGTGCCAAAAAAATATCGTTTTTTGACCAAAAACGATCGTTTTTTGGCCAAAATGTCGACTTTTCGTGAATGTTTTTGAAAATTTTACGATGTTTTTTTAGTTAAAATATAGTTTTATTCTACTAAAAGCAGTAAGAAAAGGCTTCCTATCCAGTTACTAGGCATCTCCTAGATCCCTTGATTAACACAAAAACTTGTTCCCCCCCCCCGATAATGCCAAAGCACCTCACTTCTTATCACCCTTCGTCATCTCGATTTCTCCATTTCAGTCACAATTGCCCGGCTTCTACGACCCGTGCCCGGGAGATGACAAAGTGCTGCACGTGCGCTACCAGTTCAGAGGCGAGATGCACGCCGTCACCGTGGCCGACGATATGCCGTTGATCATCCCAGTTCGATGTGGGTTTCGATTTTTTGGGAGCTTGCTCGCATATATTCACACTTTTTCTTTGTAAAATATTTTTTTTACATCGTAATGATTTCGTTAGGCTGAATTTTTACAACGCCGAAATGTCAAAAACGGGATTGTCTTTCTAAAGAATTTTTCATTTATTTTACATAATGGCAATCTAATCTCCAAATTCGCTTGAGAAGTTAAGTATTTTCTTGCGGGCCATCAATTTACTACTATGGAATTTGTGACACTGCAACGTTATGGAAAATCGGCACTAGGACAATTCCCTGGAAATTCGGCATCTTGAAAATTCGGCTTCGCTAGGACTGCAGCATGGTCAGAGGCGTAGCCAGAAAAAAATTTCGGGGGCCCCCCAAAAATTTTTTCCAAAACACTCAAAACATTAACGAAAAAACAGCGCCGCAGGCAAAATTTTTGGAAAAAAAGGTTACATAGCTCTACAAATAGCCGTAAAAAAAAGTGAAAAAATAGCGCCGCAGGCAGCAAAATTTTTGAGAAAATGAAAATCATAAGGGTCCCCCCTTATGAAATTTTCGGGCCCCGGCCGATTTCGGGGGGCAGGCCCCGGGGCCGGTATTACGCTACGTCCCTGAGCATGGTGGTCGCATTATTAAAATTGGACGTTATCAAATTCGGCGTTATGGTTTTTATGGTTAAATTCGGCATTTCGAAAATCGAGATCATAGAAATTCGGCATTGTGTCGACATTATGAAAATTAGGTTTTTCGAAAATTCGGCATTTTCATAAACATCCAACATTTTCAGCGCATCGCGTCGCTTCAAGCCCTTGAATCGATGTGCCCCGTCCCTGCCTTCACCGAGCCGCCGAACGTGTTCAGCCGTCAACCTCCTTCGCACCCTAGCTCTCCCCATTTCTAATCGTCACCTCGGTTCTTTCGCGTTATCGGGGGATTTCCTACAAGTCCAGAAAGGTCTAGTGACTTCTTTGAAAATACAAAAAAAACCTAAAAAAATTTTCTTAAAATTCAGGTAAAAAATGGGAATTTTTGGTACGAAAAAATGACATTTCTCTTAATTTTTAAGGCAAAGTTGTTGTTTTTTTTGGTTGATGTATGGTAAAAATAGCTTAGAAAAATAAGAAAAACGCCCCCCCGATACTACGAAAGAACCGTCACCAGATTTCCCTCATTTCGCCACCCCGGTCACCACCTAGCCGTTGATTTCGCAGTCTAGCTAGCGCCCCGTCCTCCCCGGTTGTTTCTTGTACATGAAGTGTTGTTACGGGATTCCCTCTGTTAGGTGTTCCCTCTTTCGTTCTGCCTAGGTGATAGCTGTTGTTTTTGAGATTCTCCGCCCTCTTGCTCACCTCCCCGCTCTTCCCTCTGCCCAGGCCCCACCACCCAAGAAAACTGCTCATTTGCCGGGTGTGCGTGTGTTTCGGCTAATAAATCTTTATTACAGGGGATGGCGGGCGCGAGGGGCGCTATAAAAATCTAAAATTTTTATTAAAAAACTGTAAGGTATATGATTTCGTTTAGAAATGATCGATTTTTCGACATTTTCGAAGTTTTCTAAATCTTGCCCCGTTTGAAATTGTTTAAAATTATGGTAGAAATACTTTTCACTGCTATAACTGGTATAACTTTTTATTGCTATAAACACGGATAATAACTAGAAGCTCAAATGCTGGTAAAAACGTCGGGTGCTTAGGCATTATCCGGGGGGGGGGCTATTTTTGGCGCGTTTTAATTTGAAAATCGTGTTTTAATAGTGTTCTAGTCAAATTTAACTCCATTTCAGGTGGAAAAAATCAAAATGAATTTAGTTTAGTTCAACTTTTGGTCAAAACTCGGCCATTTTGGATCGAAAAATCCATATTTTTGTATATTTTTTTTGGATAAAATGTAACGTTTTAGCATAGCAAAAACTTGTTTGGAGACACTGGCCGAATTTATCCTACCTTATATAATTTGGTCGCGTATCTTTGTGTGTGTGTGCGGAGGTCAGTTTCGAGGCCCGATTTGAGGCCCTTCCCGTGTCCAAAATGCCCCAATTCTTCGCCACTAGGGGGAGTCGACCCTCCTCTTTCCGATGGCATTTTCAGAATCCCGATAAAATACAATTTTACAAAGTTAAAGCCGGTTTTATTCATTTTTGGGGTCCGGGAGGACTAATTTGCATAATGTGAAAAAATAGAAATTTCCTCATTCTTGCAAGTTGCACTCGCGAGTTTGGTCGGGACAGGGGAGAGGGGTCCGAAGGACCCGAACTATCAGAAAGTCAAACTTTTCATGCAAAGGCCGCATTCCAGCGCCCAAGGCCCGCGAAGCGGGTTTTGGGCGCTGGTATTAGAATTATTGCGACCTAAGTAAAAGGTTGGGGGCCCCCTGATAAAAGGAAAGATCCAAAATTGCGAAAAAATTTTATTTGGTGCAAAACGCGGCCGTTAAATCATTTCCAGGCCGATCGATTGATTGATGCCTCGCCCCGCTGGCGAATTCAGCAGGCGAATTCATGCGTCGGAAGCTGTGTCATCTTTGGCCGGTATTGACGGGCTATCTGCGGTCTGCGTCCTCGCCGATCAGCCGCTGCCTCGCCCCCCCGCCCCCCGATCGACCGTGTGACCAGATGCCCCCTGAAATCGGCGGGGCCACCTTGCCCTCCTCCCCTTCCCTGGCTTCTCCCTGTTATTACAGTTTTTCCAAGACAGGCCATGTTGACGTTTTTGGTCGAAGGCTTTCATCATTTCTGGCCGTCGCCTCACTTTCCTCCATTCCTTTCCTTACCTCTTATTGTTAGCAGGAAAACCCAAAATTTTTGCCTATCCGTCGAGTTTAACCTATCAATCAAATCGATATTTTGTTTAAATAGTTTTTAGTAACATTTTACTATATATTTAACGTAGAAAAGTTGTTTAAAATTCACAAAACAGTATGGAGAAATCGGCAATTTGACAGTTTTAGATTAAAAATTCGTGTTTTTTTAGGTTTTTCTATCACTTTACGTTTTTTTTTTGATGTTTAGGGATGGCCAAAACAACGTTGAAGGACATTATTTATTTGCTGTTAAATCTCACTGGCTGATTTAGCGAATTTTCGGTTCTGGACTGTTAGCGGGGGGCAACCAAATTTTTCCCTGTGATTCGCTTCCGCCGCATAACAAAAGAATAACCATTAATATAGCATTTTGACATAATTACTAGTTATAAAAATTATATAAAAATTAATAATATTTTTGAAAAATTTTCCGTATTTTTGGTCAAAAAAATGTATGAAAAATGACCAAAAAGTCGTCAAAATTTTCGAATTTTGAAACTTATTTTTTACAAACTTCTAGCGATCAGCAACTACTGAAAACACTATAAAAACATAATCAATATAAAAACATAATCATCAACAGGCAGGTAGAGGTGCAAAAAAAACAAAAAGTGTTTCCCCCCGCTAAACCCCCCCTGCTAACAGTCCAGCGCCGAAATTTTTGTCAGCAATCGTGTAAAGCTGTTTTGTCTCGAAATGCTCGTCCTCTTCTCCAATTGTTACAAAATATTACCCCCATTGGCCCTAAAATCGATTTTCAGTGGGGATGGGAAACCCGAACGAGAGCCGGCCGTCGGCTCCTGAACAAATGTAAGTGATTTTTGGGTTCTTTCGCATTATCGGGGGGATCGAACTTTTTTATGAGTCGAGAAATGTCCGGTAACTTAATAGAAAGGGGTTCTGATCGTGTTTTTAGTAATATTAGTAATATGTAACCATATTTCATAGAAAAACTGACGCAAACTTGAAAAAGTCGAAGTTTTGGTCCAGATCGGCCTTTTTTTCGTCAAAAAATGATTCTTTTGGTGGTTTTTAAGAAAAATTTGTAAAGTTTTAACGTTTGGGAATAGTAAAAAACCAAAAACCATGAACTCAAAGATATTTTTGCATTAAAAATGCCAATTCTCAGGTCGAACTCCCCGCCATCGACGGCGCCACAACAAGAACATCTGCAGGGCTCCTCGTCGCGACCGCCCTCTTTCCCTTCCGCCCCATCCTATGATGAACCGCCGCCCGATTATCATGTTGGTTTGGTGGAATTCGAAATTTTTTTAGTCATGCTTCAAAAATATGCCTCTAGCTAGCCGTTTTTTACGATTTAGGCATCTATCGAGAGCTCTCCACGAGCTCAGGAAATCTGTTCCTTTGTTTTTCGAAATTCCCGGGGTTTTTTTGACAGGTTTTCCGTATTTTTCTTGCAAAATTTGCTTTTCCTCGAAAAACTCAATTTAATCCGCTTAAACAGCTTCCCAGCTGTGTTTTCTCAAAAGGCGTTCAAAAAGCGGCCGCCGGGCTGCCATAAAAAACCTAAAAAAAATCGTAATTATTTTTATATGTTTTTATTACCCCTAAACGTACGAATTTAAAAGTTTTTCATTACCAAAAATGCCGGTTTTCCTCAAAAAATGACTAAAATATTGTAAAAATTGTGCGTTTTTGTGAAACCTTCTAAAAACATCAGAAATTCGGCCCGTTTCTCAAAAAACTTCGCAAATGCAAAGGAAAGCCGAAATTTCGAAACCGGCAAGGGCTTTCGTTAGATAACTAAATCGTAAAAAGCGGACAAGACGGCCGCTAGAGGGGGGGATTTATACCATTAATTTTCACATAAATTATTTAGGCGGCGGTCAACTACCCGAGTGTCCCCAGCTATCAACAGCAGCAACCACCCCAGCAAACAGCCGTCAAGCCATATCCGGTACGTCTCAACAGCATGTTTTAGCAATTTTTGAACGCACCATTCTTAAAATTACTAGCTCTAAATTAGAAATCAGCAATTTTCAACGTATTGAAATTTCAGAATCGGTGTTTTTGCAGCATCGGTGGGGGATTCATATTTTTTAGTATCCCGTTTTTCTAGCATAAAAAACCCAAGTGTTTCCACGTGTGTTTACGATTCCTAAACGTAAAATTCCCAAAATTTTTCTTGGAAAGAACGTCAAGAATTGTTAACATCCTGTATTCCTAGACCTTTTTGAAGTTTTTAGATGGTTTTTCTTTCGGAAATAGAGTAAATTTTACAAAAAACATTACTACAACACGCACCGGTACGTTACAACGCATTTCTGGACTTTCACACAAATATTACTCCCCCCGCTAATGCGAAAGTGCTTCAGGATTTCGAGAAGCTCGGAAACTGTCAAAAATCCCGAGTCTCCGATTTAAACACCACCGCTTTCAGGTACAACAATCCTACGGGTCGCACACGGCTCCGTCGTACCCCACGCAAAATGCCCCGGCTCCGCATTTGATCTACAGTGGCGGTGAGTTCTGCCCCTCTAATTCCCGCAAAGAATCTCTGCTAGCCTGCCCGTCCATACCCTCCAATTCCTCAAAGAATCTCTGCTAGCCTGCCCCCTCCATCCCCTCCAATTCCTCAAAGAATCTCTGCTAGCCTGCCCTATCCTGATATTTCCGCCTGTCGAAGATATGTGATTTCAGGGTACCAGCAGTCGAGCGGCGGTGGTGCTCCCCCTCCTCCTCCACCGCCCGGCCAGCCTGCCGTCGTCGTCCAAGTCGTCCGGGAACATTCGAATGTGCTGCGATGCGCTTATTGCCCGAACGGAGTCGTCAGTTTTTCTCCAACACCTCTTAAAAATCGGAAAAATGCTGCGGAAATCGGCTCGCCGTTTTTATAGCTGTTTTTGGATATCAAAAGCTTATAAGTATTATAAAATCTTCAAAAATTTTTGGTTGGTTTTCAAAAATTCATAAAAATGGCCAAAAAATCTAAAAAATTCGAACATTTTTTAAACTGTCTACTCGGCCTCCCTGGTCCTTTTAAGCTTATTTGTTTCTACAGGTAGTGCGCGAAACGGACGGATGCTGCGTGTGCATGTTGGTGATCATGATGCTGTTCACGTTCCCGTTCGGGCTGCTTTTCCTGCTCTGTCTGCCGTGCGCCGTCCACAATCGCTGTCATCAATGCCATCGCATCGGGTAGACACTCGGAAAGGATGGATCTGACTATCGCTCTCTCTCTATCTCTCTCTCTCTCTCTATCTCTCTCTCTCTCTCTCTCTCTCTCTCTTTCCCTCTCTCTCTCACTGTCACTTACACAGTCTCTCTACCTACGTTTAACATTTATACTTTGACTACACTATCACATTTCGCTTATATTTTGTGGTACATTCCGAATAAAGGCTTCGTCCGGGTGATTCAGACTGTATTCCACACCTCAAAAGCGATACCGTCATTTTAAAAATACTGTACTCCGTAGCGTACTGTAGTCTGTTTAGAAAATGCTAACTAGCAGAGATTCTTTGAGGAATTGGAGGGGGTGGAGGGGGCAGGCTAGCGGAGATTCTTTGAGGAATTGGAGGGGATGGAGGGGGCAGGCTAGCAGAGATTCTTTGAGGAATTGGAGGGGATCAGGGACGTAGCGTAATACCGGCCCCGGGGCCAGGCCTCCCGAAATCGGCCGGGGCCCGAAAATTTCATACGGGGGGGACCCTTATGATTTTTATTTTCTCAAAAATTTTGCTGCCTGCGGCGCTATTGTTTCACGTTTGTAAGGCTGTTTGTAGAGCTACGTAACCTTTTTTCAAAAAATTTTGCCTGCGGCGCTGTTTTCCCGTTAATGTTTTGAGGTTTTTGGACACAATTTTTGGGGGCCCCCCCCCCGAAATTTTTTTCTGGCTACGCCCCTGGAGGGGATGAACAGAAAATTTTCACGAATCCCGGATTTTCGTCGGAACTGACTCGGAATTGGTTGCTTTCTCCCTCCCACTCTCTCTCTCTCTCTCTCTCTCTCTCTCTCTCTCTCTCCCTCGCGCGCAGTTCTGAAGCTGTCTAGAGTTATCGAGAGCGCCGACAATTCTGTGGCCTGGGGCCTGGCCGTACGCGAAGCTCGAGGCGTTGATCAGGCGGCATCAAAGACGAGCACCGAAGAGCGCGAAACGGCCGGGTTTACGGTAGATGTCCAATTTCTTGCCTTTAAAACTTCAAAAAGTGGCTTGATTCCCCGCTTTTCTGATTTTCAAGTGAAACAAATTTTTTTGATTGAATTTTCTCAGAACCGGCGCGGTATCGGCCCGGTTCAGCCGGCCCGGACGATAACATTGGCTGCGCGCCGTGCTCCGGAACAATTTCTGGCCCGCTCTGAATGCCGCCGCCGTTCCCGCCAATAAAATAACTCTAACGGCGTTACAAATTTTATTCTTACAAAGTTTTGGGTATGGCTAATACCATCATTGAGAAAGTACGCTCGGCATTTGGTTTGGGCTGACCATGACGGTGATCGTCGCGTGCTTTTGAGCCTTTTGAGCGCTACGTGGATCTCCTTCGTGCATCCGGAATTGCAGCAGCACTTCTGAAAATTCTGGATTCGTTAAGACTCTGGTTTACCCCCCAGCCCTAACTTTTCAGCCATACGTTCTATTAATGCGCGGAGTATTTCAAAATGTTCGCCGTGGTCGAATTACTATAAAAAAGTTGTTTTCTTGCGGCAAAAATTGCTAGAAATTTTTTACAAGATTTGGAAAGTTGAAAAGATTAAGCCGCTGTGCTTCAATGTACCAGGAGTCTAAAAGTCAAATATTTTTATTTTCCGCTATTTTTTCGACTCAAACGTACTGTAGGCTTATTCTATAGATCAAGAGCTACATTTTGGTACTATTGACAGCTCTGTACGTCAAAAGATAGCCGAGATACGAAAACTCACTTTGGAACACCAAAAATTAACTAAAGAAAACCCAGACTTATAATTGTTATAAAAATTTTTCTAACAATTTTGGATGGAAGGAAACAACTTTTTTATAGTAATTCGACCACGGGGAACATTTTGAGATACTCGGCGCATTAATAGGTTGTAAAGTTATCTCGCTGAAAAGTTGTGGCTGGGGGGGTAAAACTAGAGTCTAGCCCTGGATTCAATTCCGTGACATACAGGGTGCCCCCAAAAACAAACCATCTGGCATTCCGCCGTGTTGCTTCTAATCGCCCGCAAATTTGGACCCCATAGGGGTATCACGCCCTAAATACCGCAATCCTGACTTACAGCCCGATAGCTACAGTAGCCTTATGGTGACAGTAAAAACAACATTTATTTTCTGTTTTTCGTGGGGTTTGCGTGGGATTAGACCCACTAACTATTCAGCTAAAATCCTTCGGCAGACCATCTTTATCTTAAAAAATTTTTTCCTAACTGAATTTGATTGAAAAAGAACTGGAATTCGTGGAATTTTTACAACGCAAAATTAGGGATTCGCAACCGGAAGTCGATGCAAATCGATGCAAAGTCCAAAAAGGAACCGAAATAACCGTTGAGAACTGCGGAAGAACCAGTATTTGCGCTATAGCTCTCGAAATACCGTAGCTATGGCGGCGACAAGTCAGGATTGTTGTTATGTAGGGTCTGAGACACCTCTGGTCCAAATTTGGGGCCGATTGGATCGGTAACACGGCGAAATGCCAGATGATTCGTTTTTTCGGGACGCCCCGTAGTAGGCAACGGGTCTTTTGGATTAGAATCAGCGAACCATAGAATCCTACCTTATATAATTTTGGCGTGTAACTGTGTGTGTGTGTGGATGTCACTTTCGAGGCCCGATTTAAGGGCCTCCCCGTGCATAAAATGCCCTAATTCTCCGTCACCCGGGGGAATCGACCCTTCTGTTTCCGACGGCGTTCTCAGAATTTCGATAAAATACAAGTTTACAAAGTTAAAGCCGGTTTTATTCATTTTTGGGGGTAATTTGCATAATGTGAAAAAATAGAAATTTTTTCATTCTTGCAAGTTGCACGCGCGTGTGTGGTCGGTGGGGGAAGGGGTCCGAAGGACCCGAGCTATCGGAAAGTCAAATTTTTCATGCAAAGGCACAATTCCAGCGCCCAAGGCCCGCGAAGCGGGTTTTGGGCGCTGGTCAAAAATAATAAGGCAAAGCTTGCTTAACGGGGGGGGACCTGTCGTGCAAATTCAAGCATGCCATCGGATAGAGCGTCGAAAATTCCACGAAGAGATTTAATTTCAGCCCGAAATACTGCAATTGAAAATTGATTACTTTATTAAGCTAAAAAGTTTAATCAATGAAAAATAGTTACAAATGAGTTTTTTTTTTGGGCTGAAGTTAATAGAGAGGGTGTCTCGTGTCGTGTGTTGATTGATAAACTGACATTTTCGACGCCCTATCCGATGGTGTTTGCAAAATCCCAGGAGATTCTTTATAAATACAAAAATTGTTTCCACCCCCGTTAAGCAATCTTTACCAATAATATAACCACCTTTTTCGGGGTTAGGCCATTGAAAGAACCACGTGCGGATCTCGAGCCCGAATTCCTAAAGCAATTTGTGGGATTAGCCATGCATTTTTTTTGAGAAAAGCACATCGATTTCAAGGGATACCTTGGCGACGTATTTCTCGTATGCATCCCGGAAATAGATGGCTGATGGGCAATCAGAGGGGATCGGAATAAGACCCATCCATTTCAGCCAGCCCTGAATTCTGCGGTTTCCCAACATTCCCCCCAAAGCACGATTTGTTGCGGGGTATTTTCCCACCGAATTACATAAAATTGTTATAATTTACAGGGTGGCTAGAAAGTATTTGCCGCGGGGAAAGCTCCTTAAGAAATTCTCCCTGTCCGGCTTCTTTGCCATTTTATAACCAAAATGTAGCGAACAGACCCCTCTTTACGACTATGAAAAAGACTAACACCCTAGACCTCAGATTTTTAAGGTACGGTCCTCTAGAGGTGTAACCAAGCATGGGCCTGCACCGCACGTATTTTGACTTTAGTGTTAATCTTTTCAATTTTTGCTTGCAACCAATCAGAACAGAAAGTGGATTCTTGTTTATCGCAAGGTCCTTTATTGGACGTATCAACCAGAAAAATTCGTTTTAGCCGTATCGAAAAGCTTTTCGCTATTTTCTTGAGCGCCTAAATGGAGCCGACAAAGGTGTTTTTGGAGCACAAATACAAAATGTCTTAAACAACCACGTTTTTATGCGGAAAATATTATTTTTATTGTGGACGGAATAAAACCAACCGCGTGGATAGGAAAAACACATTGGATAGCCGTAACTAAAATTATCGCGGGCACAAAATAATAATAAGTTGCACTTTCTTGCCGTTGGCTTCGAACGATCTTCAAATGCTTGAGGCCGGCGTTTTCAATTATTTTGGTCCTAGTCAAAATGTCAGCCTGGTAGGCTTATGCATTATCTATATTTTAATAGTAAATTTAGGGCAAGCTTTCGAATTAATGATTTTTAAAATCCATTTTTGTGAGGCAGATGGTTGCAGCCACGAATATCGGCGCACCCCACTGGCAAAATTTTAATTTCACTTCCGTGATCCATCTAAGTCTCGCGGTGCCCCGAGCATAATTTTTTTAGATAGTTTAGTTAATGGTTTCTACGATACAGCACCGGAAAAGAATAAGATATCCCCTAAGAAATTTTTCCAGGCCTTCGAAAGTGCCGAAAACCAATACAAAAACGAGGTTTTATGTATTTCAGTCTAATTAAAATTATACGAGCAAGCATTTGCTTGTTTTTATATATCAATCGATAGAGCAAAAAATTCTCTTCCGAATACACCCCACTAATGCACCTGTCGTTGGAATTTTAGTAGATTAAAACCAGCGCGAAAGCGCGGCAAATACTTTCTAGCCACCCTGTATAATTATATATCCTATCCTATAAGCGCGAATTTGGCCGAGAATTTGGGCGGTAGGGCCGGGCCGGGCCGTGATTTTTGACCTTACTGTAAAGTGTTTTTACTCAGGCTGGCGTTTTAGGATGGGACCAAGCCTATCTTGTGCAGAATTTTTCGCTGATTCAGAATCTGATTTCAAAATTTGCTGCCGACCTTTATTTAAAAAGTTATTCGACATTTAGGCTAAAAAAATTGACTCAATCTGGATTTTTTGCGTTATTTTTTAAGTTGTCGTCACCTCCGACGTTAAAACTGGCTCGGTAATGGTTTTAGAGGTCAAAGCACGATTTTATGCAAAAATCATGTGTTTTTGTGCAAAAAGCAAAAGAAATGGTGCAGGGCGCGGATCGAACCGCCGCCCTGTGCCTGGCAAGCGAACAGCTTACCAATGCACCATGGTGCCAACCGGGAAGGGGGCTTCGGGAGGGTAGATAAGGGGCACAACAATACCTGGACCCAGGCAGGGAATAGTGGGCCAGCATCCGCATTTATGCCGTTTTAAAGCTTAATTTAGACCAAAAATGACTTTTCAACGCGAAGTCCGCAGCAAATTTGGAAAACGGATTCGGAATCAGCAAAAAAATTCTGAACAAGATAGGCTTGGTCCCATCCTAAAACGCCAGCCTGAGTAAAAACACTTTACAGTTAGAGTCGGCCCGTTGACAGGCCTGCGTGTGGTGCAGGGGTTGGGAAGTGTGCTTTCGGAAAGTACGCACCCATACGAACTGCATCGGATCTTGGAGGATCGGCAAACTACCCCCAAAATGGGTGTAGAGGCATCCGGGTGTTAATGCTGGAGATCTCGGCATCAATTCCTGAAATCAGACCCTTCAGTTAACCCCAAAAATCGGCTTGATTGCAGTTGACCCCCACCCCCCAGGCGGGGTCTAGGCGGGGGGGGAACCGAACTTTTTCCCGCCCAAGCCTATATTTTTTATATAAATATTGGAAGTGTTTCTAAATTGTTTATAGTTATTCCAAAAAATAAAAACTTTACAAAATTTAATTAAAAAATTTAATTTTAGGTCGAAAACTAAATTTTTTCGGCCCAAAAATGACCAAATTTTCGACCTTTTCAAGCGTTTTTCTAACTTTTTAAAAAGTTTTTCCGATTCAAATAGGATTAAATTGTGCTAAAAACAATGTGAAAACACTTTATATTTGATTACTATGCCCACCAGGGCGGACCAAAAAAAAAAGTTGGTTCCCCCGCCCCCCCGCTCATCCGAATTGTACCAGAAAAACCCTCGTACCTGCACCGTCTTCATCGCGTCGCCAAAAACAAAATTCTCCCAAATATGTGCCCGTGTCGGCCACGGCTCGAAGAAATCACGGCGGTATTTGTACCATGCCATCGCGTCCCTCCTTCCCTTCAATTAGTTCGCGCGTTATGGTACTTTTCTGGGTACGGTGCTTTCCAATTTACGAGAATTCGCCGGTTACGATACTTTCCTAACTACGGTTTCTCTCGTCTCACCACACTTTGGAAGTGCCGAAAGCACGGTTGGTGCTAATGCACTTAGGGGGGGGGGGCAGTCCGAAATGTGGTAGTAAGCGGTTACGAGGCGCTCCACTTAAGCTACGTGGTTTCAGCTTAAGCCCAGGCTTAACTTAGTTTCGACT